AAAACAAGAAAAATATATTTAATAAAAATAAATACAATTAAGAAACAACACTGAAAATCATTTCAATAAATATACGATTAATTCCCGTAATAAACGGTTAAAACATTTAATATATTTATGAAATTGCCTTAAAAAAGGTATTCACTAAACGGCGTGAATGGGTATTAAAAAACTTTTAAAAAGTAGTTCAATGCATATAAATATATACATTTTAAAAACAATCGTGATAATATAAAAAACACTTTGATGTTCAACACAACAACTGGCGACCCTATTATTGGGGGAATCGGTGGTACGGGTGCTATAGGCACGGGTCAACCGGTCTGTACACATACCATGATATCCCGAAAAATCATTTGCATTTCGTATTAATTGTATAATAATTTTGTTTCTCTCAAACAAATGTTTACATATATTAATGAATTGATAGCAATATATCTGTGGCCAGACATTTCTCGTTACCCTTTATTATAATAAAACACTATTAAAACGTGATTAAGACGTGATGGTTATTTAGCGCATAGTTAGCCCAGACTTAACCCATTCCCACATATATTGTGTAAAAATTTTAAGTAGTTTTTTAGACAGTGTTTTGGTATTTCTCTCCGCATATATCAGATACCAATCGCTTCTGTATATTATGTGGGCTATAATTGTTGCGATATTTAATCACAATCTAATCAAATTTAACTCAAATTTACATACAATTTAGGGTTAATATATCGACAGTATTTTATCCTAACTTTAATGCACTAAAAACTTATTTTTCTATTAATTTGTATCAATTATAGTGTAATTATTATACAACAGATTATCCATTGAGAAAGGGGTTTGGATACCAGTGCTAAAAACTTTTATAAAGGTATGCTTGTGTTAACACATATTTACAAACTAACAGCTAAACTAACCATGTTTTGGGCACAGTCTGTCCCTTAGCCCCCTCCAAACCCCTCTCAACATTCAAAACAATATATTAAAAAACTTTTTAAAAACTATATTTTTCAAGACATGTGTTGGAAAGCAATCAACAAAACCAGATGTTCGCCGATATATACGGAGAGACTATGTTTTAAACCATATATTAAACTACAAAAAAAAGTTAAATAATAAATACTAAAAATTACTGTTTTCCTCCATTCATCTAGGTATTAAAAATGATTGAAATGATGGTAACAAATATTAATTGTGCAAAAATCTAACCATTATTTTCATGGTAGAAAAAAGGGTCAATAAAACTATTGTTACAGTTATGGTAATACAGGTGTGTACTGTATGAACAGAAAAATGAATACAACAACTGGAGTGCACTGTATGTGTATAGCGTTGTCATCTATGGGTGGACTCGTGTAGGCAAACAAAGCCGTATATTGTAAGCCAAAACGTGGTGAAAACCAATTACGACACGTAATTCACGGGGAGTTTATCATGTAATTAACAATAATGATGGTTAAATATAACAACACACGTGATATACACGTGGTAATCAAACGGGATAAATTATAATAAACAAATTAAATGGGTATTCACGAAATAGTGTGCTTAAACAAGGTGATATATCATGATGGTAGTGACCGTTGGGGTCTTTAATTATGGTGAACACAGCGTACGAACGGTTCACTTCAGCCATCTTTATATGAATTGAGTCAACAGTTCAGTGGAAAGTGAGAACACAATTCAATATACAAACTCTGTATTCAAACTTTTGTGTCACAGTTTAAATTCATTTGACATAACAATCAGAGTTTAAACCCCGACCGGTGACTCATAGGGTGACTAAACACGGGGTGCGTCAAGTAATTTGAACCAAGATCACCAGAAAAAAATAGCGTTACCAACATGCTCGAGGAAAGTACCGGAAATTTTAGCGCTACCCGTAATGTGTACGACTGGTAAGTCCACTGCTGGTCACACTAGTTGTGACAATTAGTTTAATCATGGTTAAAAAGTTTGCACTCACACTAATCTATGCGTGTGTTGTCTCTCTCGCCCCCTCCCCCTCTATCGTGGATCAGGTACCAGACGGCGACTCACGTGATACTCAACATAATGATCAAGAATCTGAAGGAGTCGGACGTGAAGGTGAAACTGATCGACGAGACACTAGACGTGTCCTGTAGTCTCGCCGACGGCAATGAATTCAAACTACACTTCAATCTCTTTAAATCGATTTATGTGTCGGAAAGCAATTGGACGGTCAGTCCGTCCAAACTGGAGGTGA